TGGAGCTGGCAGGTTCGAATCCAGCCCAGGCCTAGCAAACAACAATGACAAGCACAGACTACAACCAAAAAATAGCCGGGTGCCTGTAGTCCCAGCTATTTGGGAAGCTGAGGCAAGAGAATCGCTTAAGCCCAAGAGTTTGAGATTGCTGTGAGCAGTGACGTCACAGCACTCTACCAAGGGTGACATAGTGAGTCTCTGTCTCAAACCCCCCCCAACAAACAAAAAACCCCTCAAAATCAAACAAATAAAAAATAAATAAAAAATATCTGAAAGTGGGAAAGGTGACTAATGCCTGTAATCCTAGCACTTTGGGAGCCCAAGATCGCTTGAGGAAGATCACTTGAGGCTAGGAGTTCCAGACCAACCTGTGCAAGAGCAACATGGGATTTCTATTAAAAATAGAGAAAATGAGGGGAGAGCATAGTGAGAAAGAAGGGGGGGGGAAGGAAGAGCAGAGGGAGGGAAGGAGTGGCAGGGTGGGGGTCTTGGTGTGTGACATACCTTTTGGGGGCAAGACACAATTGTAAGAGGGACTTTACCCAACAAATGCAATCAGTGTAACCTGGTTTCTTGTACCCTCAATGAATCCCCAAAAATAAAAAAATTAAAAAAAAAATAGAGAAAATGAGCTGGGCATTGTGGCAAGTGCCTATAGTTACAGCTACTTGGAAGGCTGAGGCAGGAGACTGTCTGAGCCCAGGAGATTGAGGTTGCAGGGAGCTATGATGATGGCCCTATACTCTAGCCCAGGAGACAGAGCAAAACCCTGTCTCAAAAACCAAACAAAACAGGCTTGGTGCTAGTAGCACAGTGGTTACAGCATCAGCCACATACACCAAGGGTGGCGGGTTTGAACCCGAACCAGGCCCAGACCAGCTAAAACAACTGCAACAAAAAAATAGCCAGGCGTTGCAGTAGGCATCTGTAGTCCCAGCTAGTTGGGAGCCTGAGGAAAGAGAATTGCTTAAGCCTAGGAGTTGGAGGTTGCTCTGAGTTGTGATTGCATGGCACTCTACCAAGGGTGACATGGTGAGACTCTGTCTCAAAAAAAAAAAAAAAAAAGGCAGCACCTGTGGCTCAGTGAGTAGGGCACAGGCCCCATATACTGAGGGTGGTGGGTTTGAACCTGGTCCTGGCCAAACTGCAACAAAAATAGCCAGGTATAGTGGTGGGTGCCTATAGTCCCAGCTACTCAGGAGGCTGAGGCAATAAAATTGCCTAAGCCCAAGAGCTGGAGGTTGCCGTGAGCTGTGACACCACAGCATTCTACCAAGGGCAACAGAGTGAGACTCTGTCTCTAAAAACAAACAAACAAACAAACAAACAAAAAACAACTAAAAACACTGACAATGGCAGTCTGTCTCACATATGTTAAGGGAAATTTAAGAAAAGGGGATTTTTAACCATATGGAGGAAGTTTTGAGGGCAGGGGCTTCCAGTATAGGAATGGAGCTGCTGGAGTAGGGTAATAGCAGCAAATCAAATTTAGTTAGGGTTGTGCATCCCAACCCAGAGGTTCTCCTTTAATGTTCTTACTCTAGAAAGAAATCTTTAGTTGGGGAAAGGGAGTTTTACCTCTTAGTTTAGTAAGAAGGCTTTATACCTCTATAGAACTGCTTCCACTGCCACTATAATATCAACAGTTTCTACAACTGAATCCTGAAAAATCAAAGATTTTCCAGAACTCTGATGTTTCTAGGATTTGACAGAACTGATCTGAATGTACATAAACAAGGCTGGTCTGAAGGTAGTAAGTCATCTCAATTTATTGTTCACAGTCTGTTACAGACTGAACTACTTGTTCTACTCTTTCCCCCCTTTTCACTACTGTGCTTGATGAATCTTAAAAAAAAAAAAAAAAAGTACATATTAAGTAGCCAAGGAAGCCCAAACACATGAGTGTTTCTGTAGTGACATGTATGAATATTGGCATCAGTAGAATAAAAACAAACCACAGATGGTCTCTATTTAGTTCAGGTTAGGTTTTTGCTACCAAATGAGTTTTGGGAGCAGACTCATGAAAAATGTTTGGTTCTGAGTATCTTTGAGGCTGGGCATGGTGGCTCACACTTGTAATCTTAGCACTCTGGGAGGCTGAGATGAGGTCCCTTCAGTTCAAGAGTTTGAGACTGGCCTGAGGAAAGGGAGACCCTGCCTCTACTAAAACTAAAAGTATCAGCCAGGCATTGTGGCGGGCACTTGTTACTTAGGAGGCTGAGACAGGAGGATTGCTGGAACCCAGGAGTTTGAGGTTGTTGTGAGGTAGGGTAGGCCATGGCACTCTAGCCTGAGACAAAAGAGTGAGACACTGTCTGAAAAAAAAAAAAAGAAAGAAAGAAAAGAGTACCTGAGTGTTTCTGAATTTCAGAACTGTAAGTAAGGTTGTATGGACTTGCTGATAACAGAAGCAAAAATCACAGCACCTACCAGGTGCTTACTGTGTGCCAGGTGCTCTAATTATGCACTATGTCAGCTGATTTTCAAAACACCTATATCACAGAATGGGTATCTTGAACATAGTGTAATCACTGTATGTACCGAGAATTCTATAATGTGTAACACAGGACAGTGCAATTGTTAAGACCATTGGACACTCCAGCTAAGCCCCTGGCTTACAGTCTCTGCTCTACCAGTGAATAGCTGTGTAACTTTGGCAAATGACTTAACTTCTCTATGCTTGTTTCTTCACTTGGGAAATGGAGGATAATATCAGTACTTACCTCCTAAAGTTGTTGTGAGGATCAAATGAGTTACTTTTTGTGAAGTGCCTCGCATATAACAAGAGCTGTTATTATTTGTTGAATTCTGCGCCTCAGAGAAGTTCAGTAACTTGCACAAGAATACACAGCTATTAATTGTGAAACTGGGATTTGAAACCAAGCAATTTTACTCTAGAGGCTACCCTTCTATGCAACTTTTTTGCCTTACAGGCAAACTACCAGACAAGAAACAAAGTAGCTACAAATCTAGAAAGATATAAAATTTGAAGACCTGTTACTGTGTTGGGGAATGTTGGGTTTTTCAGACAATGTCAGCCCAGTAATGTAAAGACACAAATGACAACTAAATGCCCACCTGGTTAACTCCTTTCCTAGGTCCCAGTGATGGAATAACTAGCTTATTTTTTAGCTATTGGTTGGCTTTTATTTCAGATCTGGTCAGCTGCTTATGATCTTGTTCCCCACTGGGTAGACTCACCATCCGGGCCCTGGCGAGCAGCAGCATGCAGTGCTGTGTCCCCATGGCGGTCCTGATGGGCAGGGTCAGCCCCCAGCCGAAGCAGCAGGCACAGGGCAGGGGCATCATGGCGCGCACAGGCCCGATGTAGTGGTGGGGGCTGCCCAGCATCTACATCAAGGCCTGGGTGTCGCTGGAGAAGGGCCTGGGCCCGGACCAGCCGTCCTGAAGACAAGTACCGACGGAAGCGACGCTCTCGGCGTTGGCGGCGGGAAATGGAGGCCATGGAACTCTTGGGCTAAGGAAGAAGGAAAAATTGCAGAAGCGGTCAAGACCCAGGCCTTGGCTGGTGCTTCCCATCCATCTCTGACATTCCCACTTTTCCCTCTCTTTGATCCCCCCCAGTTCCTATATCTTCAGCAAGAGATGAGGCCTACTCCAACCCTGATCCCTTTTCAGATAATAGATTTGAAAAATTTAAGGGTGGGCTGGGGGTATGGATTTTTTAATATAAAATTTGAGAAAAGGTTAAATAATTGCTTTATGAACCCAGGTAAATTTTTAATAACAGACTTGAGAAAAACCCAACAGGGCCTGATGGGGGCAATTTTCAACAGCAGAAATCTGAGTTTAAAAAAGTCACAGATAATTTCAAATAATGATCTAGAAATTGAATACATTGTACCCGGTAGACAGATGTAGAGGCTTCTTCCTCTGGGCTCTGGGGGGAGGGGTCACTCATCAGACCAGCCCCCCCACCCCTAAGTACCCCCAGAACTGTAGGCCCGAGGCCTGTGTTTAAGACGATCCGAGAAGGGAGGCGGGAAGGGCGGAGACACTGTAGGCTGGCGGAAATGACGTAAGCAGAAAAGAAGTGAAGGGCGGAAATGAACCATAAAGAGCGTGATAAGCGTTACCGGATATCATTCGGCCCCGACAGGCTGGTTTCTTGGTCCGGCCTGTGGGGGAAAACTAGGGAACTTAAGATTAAAGGATCCGTCTGTAACCGGAAGACTGGATGAGAGGCGAGGAAAAGGACGCAGGGGCGCGGGCAGAGAGAAAGAGATTTCTGGAAGTTATCCTCTCCTCAACTAGTAGGAGAAGACTTGGTTCAGTGATGGAGAGCAGAGGAGATAAAGACAGGATAAAAATCCATGAAAATGGGAGAGGCGCCTGTGGCTCAGTGGGTAGGGCGCCGGCCCCATATACTGAGGGTGGTGGGTTCAAACCGGGCCCCGGCCAAACTGTAACAAAAAAATAGCCGGGCGTTGTGGCGGGAGCCTGTAGTCCCAGCTACTGGAAGGCTGAGGCAAGAGAATCGCCTAAGCCCAGGAGTTGGAGGTTGCTGTGAGCTGTGTGATGCCATGGCACTGTACCAAGAGCGATAAAGTGAGACTCTGTCTCTACAGTAAAATAAAATAAAAAATCCGTGAAAATGGAAAACAAAACCATAGTGAGGCCAAGAACTGGAAGAAATCAAAAAAGAGGAAAAAAATACAGACACTAAAAGACATGAGATTATCAAAGATAGGGCAAATAAGATGGATGCAGACATTTGTACTTGGGAAATACGTAGAAAAAGATGGAGATGGAAAAGAGAGAGAGAGAGAGAGACACGGCAGAACTCTCTCAGCCCAGAGTGCTCTTTATCCAACGCACATCGCATGATGACATCCTTACTTTTCCATCTCATTCTCAACCCCTATGCCTCCTTCTCTGAGACCACCAATCAACTTTTGCTCCCTTCAGCCCGATACTTCTTCTCTCTCCGCCCCTGCCCCAGCCCTACATCTTCTGATCTAGACTGGTATGGCCATGTACCTGTTGTTAACGGGCAGCTTTGGGCCTGGTCTCTGCTGCTCCCAGGCGGCTCTTGTGGGTACTGCCTAAGAGAGGTGGGAGAGGAGGACCAGTCATCAATGGGAGGATCAGATTGGGGGAGACACCCGGTGCAGAAGGCTGAGTGGAAAAGGGGAGCACTAAGACCCAGGGGTAGTGGAGAATTGCAGCAACAAACTGAACGAAAGAAGTAGGCAGTGGGGGTGGGGGTGGTAGGAGCCATCTGGTACCTGGGTAGCATTTGAAACAGTATCGGCCATACGGACAGAAATGGCCAGTCAGTCCCAGGGTATCCAGCAGCTTCTGCAAGCAGAGAAGCGGGCGGCTGAGAAGGTGGCAGATGCCAGGAAGAGTGAGTCTCCTCTTTCCTCTCTTTGGAATCTGGAAAGAAAATTGAGGGTGGGGAAAGCCAACATTTGAGTCCTTCAGAAAATCCAAGGCTGGTGGCGACAGAGCTGGAGCTGGAGGCTGGTTAGGAAGGAATGGATGGGTATTAGAATCTAGTACCTGGCTGGCTGAGAGAAGGCAGAATAACTTTCTGGAAGGGACTGATTCCTACTATTATATTTCCTGGTGGGGGGTACCCCCACCCACTTTCCTCTCTTCTGCTTTCAGGGAAGGCCCGCAGACTGAAGCAGGCAAAGGAGGAGGCGCAGATGGAGGTAGAGCAATACCGCAGAGAGCGAGAGCAAGAATTCCAGAGCAAGCAGCAGGCGGTGAGTGTGGGGTGTTGAGATGGAACCCTGGGTATAAATTGGTGGGTGCATCTAGTGAGGTGTGTAGACATGACTCAACAAGAACATACTGTGGTAGAGGGCTGAAGCGATCTTGGCAGAGGCCATAACATTGGTAAAACTTTGTGATGACATGTAAGAGAGCCTGGAGTTTTGAAGGACATGTACAGCTTGTAGGTGGAATTGCCACAGTCTATGTAAAACTGATAACATCTGTGTAAAGTATGATAATGTTTGGGGTGGAGGGCAGTGTTTTTGGTCATGGGTGGTGAAATAGGGGGGGATTTTACAGTGTGTTTTAGGATGAAGTTGTATGCCAAGTCTAAGAAGTAAGGGTGTATTGATCTCTTTGGTGTATGGATATTTCTATGGAATGAGAGTAGTTTCTGAGACAGCCTTTCTTCTTGGCCTTGTTCCAGGAACTTTCTGTCCACATACCTGGACACTTGCTCTCTGTTTCTGCTTTACTTTTTTCTCTTCCACTCTTTTTCCTACCCCCTAGGCCATGGGCTCCCAGGGAAACCTGTCGGCTGAGGTGGAGCAGGCTACAAGGCGCCAGGTGCAGGGCATGCAGAGCTCCCAGCAGAGAAACCGAGAGCGGGTCCTAGCCCAGCTTCTTGGCATGGTTTGTGATGTCAGGCCCCAGGTCCACCCCAACTACCGGATTCCTGCCTAGGACTCATCACAGAGTCTGACTCATTCTGCCAGTTCTCTCTGTCAAAGACCCCCCCCCCCAATTAAAATCACCTCCCACCACAGTAGTTTTCTTCTTTCCATTCTCTGGAAATCCTATGAAACTTACAAATATCCTGCTCAAACCCGAATCTCTTTGTTGTTCTTTAACCCTCACTGGGAACTTGTAAACTCCCAAGTCATTCTCGTTCAATCTTTTGTGCAGATTGTAACTCTGGGAAGTAGAGATGTGGAAAAAACACTGACTTCAGAGCCTGGCAGACTTGGGTTCTTCTCATGACCTGACATGCTGGCTGTGTGACCAGGACAACTTACTTTTCCCTGTAGCCTCAATATCTTCCTCTGTGAAACTGGGATAATAATATTGGGGTTACTGCAAGATTAGGAATCATTATGTAGAGAGTCTAGTATGGGTCCTGGCATGCAGTAGCCGTGATTCAATAAATGGCAACCCTGTGATATTATTACCATCCCTGTTCACTGGCCAAAAGCCGTACAACTGTTTCTTCACTTCCATCAGTAGCCCTCTAATTATTCCACTCATTTATTCTGTGACCCTAGTAATTCCCTGAAGAATTGGTTCTTTCCTCATCTCTTTACCCAGAGATTTTATAATCTTTGAAAAGATGAAATCATGTCTTCACTTAGCCCTCTGTTAAATTCTAGGTATATACTACATCTTGTAGTCTGTCTTTTTGTTTCTCTTATGCTTGTCTTGCTGTTTATAGGATTTTTCCCTTTTCCTATTTCCCCAAAGACTCATTAGATACTCACTGCTTCCTAAGCTCTAAAGCAATGCTGTGTACCCTCATATGCATGGCTTTCCTGTGTACATCCTTGAGACCTTACTTTCCCTTTGTAACAGTAAAAAAAAGTGTGAATAAAATAATTATGGGCAAATAAATTACTGAGTTGAAACAGTCTCCTTTTGCCTCATCTTTTCTCATTTTCAGTCACTCTCATGACTCCCCAAATGGCTGTTCTTTGAACCTTGTTGGAGAAATAAAAGTAGTATCTTATTTTTCTTTTTTTTTGAGACAGAGTCTCAAGCTGTCCCCCTGGGTAGAGTGCCATGGCTTCACTGCTCATAGCAACCTCCAACTCCTGGGCTCAAGCGAGTCTCCTGTCTCAGCCTCCCAAGTAGCCCACCACAGGCGCCCAACACAACGCCCG